TTACAGAAACTCATTCACACTCAAGTGCCATTAGTCAATCAATCAGTTAACATCTATAAATGGCAGATATTAAATCTCTTCCTTTTTTGATGAGAGTGTATGTGGGGGGGTGGGGGTGGAGGAGATGGTAGAAAGTAACTTAGAAATTCAATGCTTCTGCATATGTGGGTGGAATTACCACTGAGAGGGGGTAAGGAGGAATATAAATGGAAGGTTGGGGATCTAGAAGACAATGAAAAAACTTCATGGATTCATTTACCTTCTTTTCACCAGGTTGCATGTGAAATTCAGTTCCAATTTGATTCCACTCTTAGGACATAGGGTTCAAAGGGCATAATCTACAGATGATTAACCAGTAATGTGATTATGTTTGAAAAACAAAATTTCACTCACAAATTCTGCAGAAAAGAGAAAATAGATACCTTCAGTTTACATTTGAACAGATGTGAAGCAGAGTTCTATGCTGTGTGGTGTCTGAGGGCATCTGTGGTGACCATGGTATCTGAGGATCTTGGAGCTGCTCTTGGAATAGATACCTTCACACATTGTTATCTGCTTTTATCTTTACTCCAAATCTTAGGGAAAACAAATTTCATAGTAATAAAAATAATAATAGGTAACATTTTTTGAACAAAGTAATGTGCTATGAAAAGCTACTTGGATTGCATTATTTAGTTTTCAAACAAATTGTGGAGAATTCAGCATCATAGTAAAAACACTGTTCTTAACAAATTATAAAAATTATGGAGCAGGCATATGGAATAGACATATATGGAGTAGAATTGATCATGGTACACAGATATGTCATAGCTGTGTGTAAACAAACTGATATATTCTTGTCATAAAAATAAAAGTGACAGTTTTTTTAGAAATAATTTTATTTTTGAAATTCATTATTGAGTAGAGCTAGTATATAGTTCCACCTATAATATAAAAATGATTTTTAGTCAATGCAAGGTAATTTAAAAATTCTACAATGTCCATTAATTTTAGCTCCCAAATCTGTCCTGGTTTATATGATCAATTATATAATTATGCTACCTATTTAAAAGGCATTACTACCCATCCATTGAACCAAAACATATACCTGGAGGTCATTTGACCCTTTTTACTTAAACATCCAGTCACTAAGTAATTATGATTTTAACTAAGTTTCCACTTCTCTATCACTACCTGAGTTCAAAGCTTTAGCATTTCTCTCCAAAATTGCTTTGAAAGACTTCTGTCTGGTCTTATTCCCAAGCTTTTATCCTTTTAATCCATCGTCCACAGTGCTGTCAAAGTGATAACTGCATAAAATCCTTTGAAAGTTATCAATTTTCTACAAAATAAAGTTAAAGCTTTTTGGCATAGATGGATTTTTGCCTCTCCTCCATACCTTTTTTCTTTCCTCTGTGTGCTCTTTCCTCCAGATACTCTTTGGCTACATCTATGCATCAAATACACTATCTTCCTTCAGTACATGAGGCAGGACATGGAATTTGCTCAGCCTCTTATAATGCTTTTCACCTCTTCTTTTGGCTTGGCTCTCTTAGCATAAGGTGCATTCCTTTACCATAGCACTTTACATACTGCACTATAATCATGTATTTGCTGTCTTCCTCTCTTAACTGTGTTCCACTAGAACGGGAGGGTTTCCTTTGGGAGTCATCGGCGCTATTCTCAATGCCGATGACTCCCAAATCTGTACAGCAGTCAAAAACTGACTAGTATTCCTCACAAATCTTTTCTACCTCTGCTTCATATTTACCCAAACTACATGTCAGTGCCCTCAGAACTTCGCACATCTCTGAATCACTACTCATCCCCTTATATTTAATTAGTTTTCATTCTATTATCACCTTCAAATGTTTTTTGAAAGTATGCCTTCCTCCCCATTTCTACTGCTAAGGTAATACTGCCAGCAGTGTGTAATGACATCCCCACCCCCCAAAATGTGTATGTATATATGCGCACACAAAAATATACATGTTTATTATAAATTTTATCTATATAAAGCATATGTAGCACCAATTTAAAATTATAAAAAAATGCATTATACTCTTTACTGTAAATTCCATGGAGCTAATTGATTCTCACAGAATGCTTTTGTTGATATTTGCTAAACTTTTGTACCCATAGCCAACCAACTTATGGTTGCAACTAATGACAACTGTGATTCTGATATAAACCTTCTGAAAAAGTAAAGACATAAGTTGGAACTTTACTTACTCAATAATGACATGAACAACTTCTGGATAATTTTTATTAGAATTATAGTGTATAAAGTTTTGTGCTATTCACAATGGAATAACTAAAGGTATGACATACTTTTTAAGTTGAATTTACCTTATTATAATTTTCTCCATTATTTTCTTAAATCTAGAAAATCAACAAAACAAATCATCATGATTGTGATTTTAGCATTTGTCAATTGCTGTAGTGTAAATATTCCAATCCTGACTGATTTCAAGCTACCACCATAAAGTCACTAAACACTGAGTTGGGAAGAGGTGTACAACAGTACACCATTTCATATTATTTGCATCTTACAGAGACATATAACCTCAAAGGCATAGATAATAGTAAAATAAGTATTCAGTGAGTAGTTTTGAATATTTATTACCTCTATTTAAAATGTAAATCCTTTAATTATAAACATAAATAATTTAATTTTTAATAATGATTGTATGTAAAAACTGACTCACAAAAATCCTGAAAATTTAGCATTTGGCTCTCACGAGCCAGTGCAGGCTGACTCCAGGCCAGCATGGCTTATCATTCACCTATCCTGTGTGACGATTTCCTAAGTTGACCCTTGTTTTCCCATTCTATGAAGCCATCTCAGATATAGTTTCAGACTACATGTGGATGCAGGACTCCTATTCACACACTCAGAATATTTCCAATTATTAAGAGAATAAAGTCTGAACTTTATAGTGATTGTCCTTAAGGAATCCAGATCTGGACCTTCCAAATATTTCTCACCACTCAACTTCATTTATAATTGACCCTAATCTCACTTAAATTCTTACTAGTTACAAGATACTTTTTATATTCTTTTTAAAAAAATATGTTTTTTATTGATTTCAGAGAAGAAAGAAGAGGAAGAGATAGAAACATCAATGATGAGAGAGAATCATTGATCGGCTGCCTCCTGCAGGCCCCCAACCTGGGGATCAAGCCTGTAATCTGGGCATGTGCCCTTGACCAGAATCGAACCTGGAGCCTTCAGTCCGCAGGCTGATGCTCTATCTACTGAGCCAAACCAGCGAGGGCACTTTTTATATTCTTATGCTGATTTTTTTGTCTTGGATTTCTTTCTCTCCATTCCTGCATTCCCAAATTCTATATACTGCATACTACAAGATCATTTAAAAATTTAAATTCTGTCTGAAATGTTTTTCTCTTTTTATCTGGATGGAAATAAGTTTTCCCTTTGTTCCTTCTCATTTAACACTTCACGTGTGCCTTATTTACAGCCCTCGTTTTCTACCTTCTATGCAATACATTTTATTGCATGTCTATGATATATAAGGGACTATTTTCAAAGTAATTTAAAAAGTATAACAGAGAAAAACGTCCTAGAAAGACCTTTGAGAGGAAACCTAACCTTAGGGTAAGGAAAAAAGGAGCATGTAGTGATGGAATCAGAGAAGTAGGAAGAGAGTTGGGAAACTATAGGGGTCCAAGAAACCTGGCAAAGAGAAAATGTCCAATAGGATCTTATCAATAGAGATGGAGAAGTTTCAATCTTTGAGTATTTTGTTTGAAACCAGCCATCTACATAGTATTTAGATTGACATAGGTCATGACAGATCACAGTAAAAGATAGAGCATGTGATGTAAATGTTCTCATAAAAGAATCAGGTATTTATTTTACTTTCCAGAATATTGTAGGTTTGGCCAGTACTACCAATCCCTAATCAAATTTTAGAGGTTTACATTTAGAATGTCTTGAAAGAATCACAAATGTAGACTGTAAATTCTGAGAATGGAAGAATCCTTGAAAGAATTTTCATGCCAAGTAATGCAAAATCAATTCCAGGAAATGTTATAGTAGTTGGCAACTTCTGGAATTAGCTGATCTCTATTGACATGATAACAAAATCCAGAAGTTAATCCAAGTGTTTACAAGGAGAAAGGCATGTGGACTGCATACCTAACACAGACAAATACTTGTAACTAAAGCAGAAGCTTTATTTGATAAGTGCTGTGACAGAAAGTGCATTGGGGAAGAAACGGGCAGTAGGCTCTGCCAGCTCTCTCATCTTTCAGGGAGAACAGAGAAAATCAACACTGTGGCGGTATAATGGATCAACTCTTGCCTTTGATTTCTCTCTCGATACAACTAAAATATGACAGGACAAGGTTATACCTGGAAATCTTCTATGTCTCGCTCTTACACATAAAGAACCAGTAGTCTAGAGACTGGGAAGGTGGGGCAAGGTGAAATTTGGGAACTTGTGCTTTATGTATTTTGGAGATACTATCTTGCTAATCTACTCTGAAGAGATTTTTCCCTACGAAATTAGCTCTCTAGATTGACTTGCATTTTATTAATATTTTTGCTAATATTATTTTATGCTTTCTCCTCTTCACTTATCAAAGTTACTTGATATGTAAAATAATATATTTAATATATTTATTTGACCAAACTTAAAGTGGAATTACTATAAGACTATATAAATTCTACATAGTAGTACTTTTTCAAAAAATCTTTCTCCATGTGAGTTCAAAGGCAGGAAGAGTATTATCTACAGGGGTGGGGAAAATCAGATACTATTGTATTTTACATACAGTAGTATCTGAACAGGTATATGTTTAGATACTTCTGAAGTTCTCAGTGGACATAAGTTTTAGGGAGATACTATTCAACTTCATAACAGCTCATAAATGAGTTCAAAATTTCAGAAAATATTAAAATAATTCATTTTCTAAATAATAAAGATTATATTTTTGGTTTATATTATATGACATCCTCACTCATTTTTCATTTAGTTTAATTCCTCTGTCCCCAGTTGGTCCTGTGTCAGAAGGCTGGGACTTACCCATGAGAAAGCATAAGCTCTCCCCTGCAGTGGAGCTTGTTGGGAATGCAAGGTGACAGGTAAGCTGATGAACTCTTTCTAAACATTTGACCCACAAAAATAGCCAGACATTTAAAAATGAAATCTGTGTTTCCTAGCTGTGTGGTTATATTAACATCAGACAAAGTGGACCTTAAGACAAGGAGTATTGCTATAAATAAAGAGAGCATTTCATAATGATAAAAGGGTCAATTCATCAGGAAGACATATCTTAAATGTTTATTCACCTAATAAAGGAGGGTCAAAATCCCTGAAGCAGAGAAAATATAGTCAAATCCACAATCATAATTGGGTATTTTTAATATTCCATGCTTAATAATTGATAGAATATATAGACAAAAATATCAATAAAGATATACAAAATGTGAACAGCATAATTGACACTCTTGGCCTAAATTGCGTTTTAGAACACTCCACCAAAAACTGCAGAATAGCCATTCTTTTTCTAGTGTATATGGGGAGTTCACCAAGGGAGACAACAGGATAGGCTAAAAAGTATCAACAGTAAAAAACAGAAGGAAATCTTATAGAGCACGCTCTTTAACCACAAAAGAAATACATGAGAAATCGATGACATATAAAAAAATCTCCAAATATTTTAAAGTGAAAAAAAAAAATGCTTTCTGCGTGCAACTCTTAAAAGAATGTCAGTAAAACAACTTATTTAACTCTATGAATTTCAGGTGGGAAAAGAAAAATTTCCACTGAATTGGTCAAAAAATTAATACCAAAACCAGATAAACCTTTGAAATTTATGTGTAATCAGGTTCTTTAAAGTTATCATATATTGCTGTTAAATACTGGCTGCATCAGTAAAGGTATATTCAGGGATAGCAATAATTCTTTCAGATATCCTAAAATTGTTGACATAGATACCCTATATTACTTTTCATGGTTCTATCTTTAAAAAACTTCTAAGATTTCAGTCTTCCTGGAACAGGAGAGGGACTTGCCAAGTCTTGGAAACGTAAAACAAACACTTTTTATACATATGTTAATGCCATTGTTTATTGACTCAGCTCCAATGTTATTGGGGTCATTAGCAAAGCAGAAGCAGCTCAGATCCTGTCCTTTAAAATAGTGGGTACCTTCTGTGTACTGGATATCAAATCACCTATCCCCTACCAGGTATCATAGCTGTTCTGGCAGTGCAAGTAGAAGCAGAGGTGCCATTTCTTGCTGAATTTTTTTTTTTTTTTTTTTGCGGGGGTGGGGGGGGGTGGGGGGGAATCATCTGCTGTAGACATAGTGTTTCAAAAATCAGACAAAATATATTTCATGAAAAATCTATTTTGAGATCGACATTCATTTGAGAAGCTAAATGTAGCATCTGGATAAAAAAGGGAAGGGATGAAACATCAAACTGAAAATATCCTCCTATATTGTGAAATTTTCTCAAGTGTAAATGAGACCACCTTTAAGTCTGTCACAGGCAAAGAAATCCAACTGGGGTCTTGATGACTAAAGGGATGTTAAAGAATCTCTCATCAGCAGACCATAAAGAATAAAGCAAGAGCTATCAGTACTGTGCAGATGTTATCAGGATGTGACTTCAGCACAACCCCACATCCCGATGGAGAGACAAAACTGCAGATGTGTAATATATTACAGGAACTAACTGCAAAATCTGTTTTGCTTCTCCTACTTTATAATGTTTAATTTTTGTAGAGACATGGCAATTGCATTTTTGAAGAACTTCCTCCAACCTTAATCATTTTGTAAGTCTAACTGCTTACTACTAAGATGCAGGGAGCTGTAGGTAAAGTGGCAGATTACATACTACCTGGGCATGGGGTCCTGTGAAAGAAGGAGGGAGAGATATGTTTAAGCATTTGTGTAAGGTGGTGGAAAGAGAGTTCTCATTGTTGTGTGATAATGGAACCCTACGTGTGAGGTAGAGACCTGTGCACTGATTTGACAACAAATCTTTAAATCTGTTCAAAGTCCTGGCAAACAAAAAGAAACTCAGATTTGTTAAACAAAGTAGAAAACATTTGGATATGTGAAGTAAGCATTTCTGCTCAGATGATTTGTTTTCCTTTTTTTTAAGTTAAAAATGATAGAGTAATTACTTAATAGGTTATATATAGTTTCAAAGGAATTATTTGCCTTGGTGAGAATTATTTTTTTCAGGAACTGCTGGTCTTTTATTTTTGTGTTATTGAAACTAGCTGATTGTAAAGTCATAAACCTATATTTCTTTCATTTTGAGTAGTTTAAATGTAGTCATTTTCTAAAACAGGTTTGTTTCCCAAATAAAAGCAGCCCACCTACTCTGTTCAGCTGCTGTTTTGATCCTGTCTCTAAGTGGTGTCTGCAGTTGGGGTGGAATAGGTCAGTTGGCTGGTGCCCTCTTCTGCTATTTACGCAGTTTTTTTCCTTTCTCAGGGAGCCCACAGGACCTTGCCCTAGAGGGCCTTATATCGAATAAGCCTACATTGTTGAATCACATGCACTGAAGACTACAGAACAAATCATAGAAAAAGGAACAAAAGGTAATTTTTTGAAAAAACAGGATGACTTCTATGAAATTAAAAACACAAACCCCACTAATTATTAGATGGGCTTGTGCTTCAGAAAAATGTAATTAAATGCAAAATAGTAAATATTATGAAGCATATTAAAGAATAAATTCATCTTTATTTTTAATATATATTTTTATTGATTTGGGAGAGGAAGGTAGAGGGAGAGAGATAGAAACGTCAATACTGAGAGAGAATCATTGAGGGGCCACTTCCTGCACACGCCCCACTGGGGATCGAGCCCACAACCTGGGCATGTGTCCTGACTGGGAAGCAAACCACGACCCTCTGGTTCATAGGTCAATGCTCAACCACTGAGCACACCTGCCGAGTAAAGAATTAGATTCATCTGGAAATTGTTATATCTGGTATTTATAAAGGTAAAAAAATAAGAGACAGATATTACCTGGAATTAGGACTGGCTTAGTATGTATTCTTAACAATAATCTCTTTGAGAATAAAACCAACCACAAAAGTAGTACTTAAAATAAGTATAATGTATATTATCATTATTCTTACATGGATTATTATCAGGAAGGAATAATTCCAAAAGATGGGGTTTAATATATTGCACTTGATTCCAAAGGGAAGAGACAAGAGGGAAGTAAAACAAAAAGGATAGCCTTGCTTTATCTTAGAAGCCTAGAGCAAGCCAAGTAATTCTAATTTGGTGATTAAAAACAAACCTAACCAAAGACAAAGGTTTGGTTTTAAACCAAAGTCAAAGCAGCCCCTCGGTTTAAAGCACATTTACCTATTTATATCCATGTGGACTGGATGTAGTAGAAAGTGAACACAGGTCATTCATCTTTGAAGTTTGGTTTGTTGTGGGCCTGTGTTCTCTTCATATTTCTACTCCTAGTGCCCAGCGCAGTGCCTGGTACATCGCCATGCCCAATAATGCTGGTTGACTTGAATCATTGAACAATAGCAAAGAACTCTATTCTGAATATTGGATAAGGTAAAATTTCAAATATCTGAAAACTTCAATATTCTGTCTAAAGTATCACCTAAAAAAATTCCATGTAATTTTTATGCCAGGATAGGCAACTACAGAGGGGATGAAAGACATTCTTTTGTGTAAGGTGGTTGCACCTTTTGCCAAGATGTGACTGACCAAAAAAACTCAAAATATTTTGAGGAGATGCTATCTGCCAGAGGGATTGCCACAATACATGTAGGATCAAAGAACATTCCACATTTTACCCTGGTGATTAGCTGTAATTAAATAAAGTAAGTCTTTTTAAACTTCATTAGCAGCAAGACGTTTGCTACAGCAGAGTGGGCACAAATCATCCATTCTTAATTAAAAGATAATCCACAGGATGGCCATAATCTTCTCCTAAAAATACAACATTTCCCCCTGAAAGATTTTTCTCATCAAATAAGGATAAATAACAGTTTCTATGAGTTTAAGCCATGAAGGAAAGGATGCTCCTCCCGTTTGCTTGAGTGAGTGCTGAATGTGGCTGATAACATCACTTTGGCATGCTATTATCTAAAATGGTAGAATACCTCACTTCAGCAAAGTCTGACATAAATCTTTGAAAACAAAGACATTGCATATGTATGAGCTGAAATAGATATGACAGTGTTGGCACATTAATATTCCTGTCACTAGGGGGTTTCAAACTTTTAAGTTGAGGATGGGAATGAATTCAGACTGTAGCTGGTAAAATAGGGTGACATACAGTAGGACAATTAGGCATTGCCTACCATAATAAAATATGTACAGAGAAAGGGTTCCCTGTTCCCTGCCTTTGGTAAAAAATGACTGTAGGATTATCTCCTGGGAATGCCACGAATAATTAATCTGGCTTAGAAATTTGCATGATTGTTCTAAGCATACTAATAAGAATGTTCCGTGAAGACCAGTCTCAATCAGTGGAAGAGAGAACTGTTTTTTCTTGTGTTGCCATTATGGTGGTTCATGGGTAACAGATGTTTCCACTTATTCCACAACAACCCTCATTAAAAGTAACTATAAGGCCTAATTGAGTAGTTCTCCACATAGTTGGATCTTTGCAGAAAATAGTTCTATTATTGTATGTTTTACAATTATTTCTCTTCCTGATTTTGGTGGCTGATAATGAAAAGCGTTACCATAACTTTTTAGCTTAACTTCTCAGGAAGACATAAATGGATGAAAGTTAAACTTCTTTTAACTCCATCTTACTCTGTGTGGACTAAGTGTCAGGAAGCCTCTACTTAGAAATGCCAACTATTTTTAGAAGAGCTTTATAAATCATGAAATTCTAGAAAATCACCACATACCAGGAAAGATGACATAACGGTTGCATTAGATTTTAGTTTGTATGGGAGTGGGCAAGAGTTCAACACTCGGTCTTGATGAAAAATTGTCACTAAATTACAGTTACGGTGTTTGAAGCTGATGTTGAAATGTAAAAACATATGCGTTGACCTGGTGAGTGGAAATGAGGCGCTGCTCAAAAGGTGTTTTTTTCCCCCCCCAAAAGCATTTTGGTCATGTATCTATAGCCCAGGGAAGCTTGGCCTGAGCCCTAATAGCAGTCACCCAGATGCAGAAAAGGGCTTCAAAACCTCTCCTTTGACAAAGAGACTTGAAATAATATCTGACAAAAGCATTGCATGCAAACATGATGGCAAATCAGCAATCATACAGGCTGCAAAGGAGAGCACATCTCACTTCCAAGTTTTCTTCTTCAGATTTTACTAATAATATCTCATAGAGGTGCTTAGGTCAGTATTTTTAAAAACAATTTAATATATGACTGGGTTTGATTTAACTCCTTTATTCCACTAATACTGTTTGTCATTTTATGCATGTGTCAGCATTGTTTTTGAATGGAAAAAAAAAAAAAAAAAAAAAAAGGCTGGGAATAAACCAAGCACAAAGACTCTTGTAGCTCACTGTGTGTAACTTTGTTTTAGAAAGCGATAGATAGTCCATGAAGATAGGTTATACCCCACTTGCAAACAATTGCTACCTCTTAAATGAAGTAATACGTTGAAAGAAAATGACCTACACTAAATTAAATCATATTGATGAAAAGAATGGCAGCAGATTTGACCAGATCCAAGTTGCTTAGCTACTCTCTTTCAATGTGTTGTTCTTGATTTCCAAAAGTAAATAAAAATAAGGCTTTTCAAAAGGAGTTACAAAATTAAACTTTGTTCTTTCTTTTTTCCCTTTTAATTGTCTTTAGAGAGAGGGAAGGAGGGAGGGAGAAAGAGAGAAATATTGATGTGAGAAACATCAATCACTTGCCTCCCTCATACACCCTGACTGGAGATTAAACCCCCAACTTAGGTATGTGCCCTGGGTATGTGGGTATGTGCCAAACTCCCAACTTTTTGGTGTATAGCCAACCAATGGAGCCATACCAGCCAAGGCACAAAATTAAATTTAAATATTAAAATATTTACTTTGTTTTCATCTAATAGTATGCCATGAAAAATTTACATGTACAAATATGAATTTTGATCCCATCCTATAAATAAGTAATCTCTAAAGGTATATGTGCCCAATGAAATGCAGCCCAGGTTTCAACCTGGATAAATATGAAGAAAAACAATGACAACAACAACAATAATAACTCAGATGGAACACCTACTTCACAAATAACTGCAACATAAACTTTCTCAAAATCTTTACCTTTTTATTTCATAATCATCAATCTGTTACTGATCAAATATATACCATATATCAAATAAGGAAAATTCTCATAGTATAAAATTATTGATACGAACTGTAAATAAAAACAAAGCTTCTTGGGCCCTTAAAATGTTCTCTTTCATGTTGATTCATTGCAGAAAAATAATGAATTGCAGCTTCTTCTTCCCCTGACATATTTGGGATAGTTAACATGCCTTTGAAATGTCTTAAATATTCTAACACCCACTATACAACATTCAGAAGAGGAAAAAACAACAACAACAACACATGCAGTTATTTCGTTGGTGGTCATTTTTTAACCTCTCATTCAGTAGTTAAGAATACCAAAAGCATATGGTTTAAGGAGAAGGAAAGAAACAAACTTAGTCAAATGTATTGAAATGCAAGAATATTTTTAAAGGTTCTATTAGAAGATACTTGATCATTAGCAATAAGTCCATTTACCACATGGTCTGTAATATGAAGACAGTTCAAGATCTCTATCTCTGAGATCTGCAATAAACACATATGCTAATCAAGTTACCTATGAAGTGGCTGTAGATAAGGATGCTCCTAAATTTGTCTATAAACATGTTACCACTTTATTATTTTTTTTAGTATATATTTTATTGATTTTAGAGAGAGAGGGAGGGAGAGGTATAGACAGAAACATCGATTGTCTGCCTCCTGCATGCTTCCTACTAGGGATTGGGCCCATAACCTGAGCATGTGACCTGACCAGGCATCACACATGTGACCTCTTGGTTCATGGGTTGACACTCAACCACTGAGCCACACCAGCCAGGCAAACACGTTAACCATTTTAAAAAGCATTTAGGAAGATGTATTTTTCCAACCACATTAACATAAATAATTTTTATTTATACCCTCACAGTTTCTTTCTTAGGATACTCTCTTTTGTTCTATCAGATCATGCAGGTTAAACTTATTTTGATATTTATTTTTTTCTTATGAGAGTAAGAATTTCAGCAAATCACTTATAAACTATCACGTCCCTTTATTGTATAATGCACCTAGTGGGATTTAAACTCTTACAAAGCTAGTGTTTTATTAAAACATTTCAGACATAACTTATTTGGTTTCAAAGATATAATATGCTGTATCTTGTTTATTTGAATTAAATATTTGTCTCACACTTTAGCACACCACACAAACTTCCTTGTTTGAATTGACCAAAATGGTCATGAGTTTGATTATATATGGGGTTGAAACATTTAGTATAATAAGCACTTCATATGAAACATAGAAAGCAAATGTCTACAAACAAATGTGAATTTGGTATTTCCAGTGAAGAATCTACCCTAAATCGGTGGTA